TTGGGACGTCAAACACCTCAGTACCCTCCGTGACCATGGGTGCTCTAAAGCACTCAAAACGTCGGGAATTAAAAAGTTAAATTAAACGCGATAAAATCCGTAAAAATTAGTTTCATCATTAGATTTCTTATATTTACGCGAATACTACACATTAGTGTAAATATAAGAAATCATTATGTAACTCAGCAGCTCGGATGGCAGCGCCTACAAAATCAGATCGATGGGCAGGGACATTATCATGATGAAAAAGCACCTGAACAGTTTCTTAGAATTTTTAACGTTTTCTTGCGTAGCGGCCGTTGTAGGCCGCTCGGAGCGAGTGTTGTCGTTGCAGGCGGTTCTGCCGTGTTTAAATTCAGCGCACCAGTATGCCCCTGTAGAATAAGACGGAGTATTGTCTGCCAAAGGAAACTGCAGTTCTTCAAAAACAATTTTTGTAGAAAATTATTTTAGACAAATATTTAATAACCGTACGAAGTTAAAAGTTTCTCAATTTTGCATACGAATCAAATTCCCGTCAAAAAATAATATTGGTTAGTTTTTAATTTAGTTTTTTCTAGCCTTGGCTACTAACGAATTTAAGATTGGAATAAAATAGAACGCGTTTCTATAACTCATTGACAAGTGTCTTATTCCGAAAACTTATTGATCAACCTAGTACAGGGATGGCGAACCAGACATGTGTGCCATCGATGGCACGCGAACAATTCACGCCACCGATCATAAAGTTAACTATGAAGTATTAGGGCGCGGCGGTAATCACGAAGTAATTTTTTTTTTGCGCCACGTCTATGGACTCATTAAACATTTCTATGGAAAAGGGCAATGATACATAAAGGTTCGCTACCCCTGACATAGAAGAATGCCTTGTATGGGAAATATTACAATTGTTACAATTTGGTTGGCAATCAAAGTAATGTTTTTTTTTGCGCCACGTCTATGGCCTCATTAGACATTTCTATGGAAAATGGCAATGATACATAAAGGTTCACCATCTCTGACATAAAGAATGCCTTGTATGGGAAATATTACAATTGTTACAATTTGGTTGGCAATCAAAGTAATTTTTTTTGCGCCACATTTTTTTATCAGGAAGATGCTGCTGCCCATATCCTGTTTAATTTCTCTCTGTCACCGCATCTTACGACACTCATGAGATGATGACGCTATATTTAAAATCTTCATCAAAAAAAAAATTAAAACCACAAGTAAATTGCATAAATACATTTATTATGTCCATATTTACATACATAGCGATATAAACATTGCACTTGGGTATTAAAAAACAACATTGCAACATTGAAATACAAAACCGACTATAAACATTACAAATCCAACTTACAACTATATAAAATCTTAAGGAAACCGTTAATAATATAACGTATAATAAATTTTATTTCCACACAGTTACATACAAAACTTGACACAAATAATTACAACTTTAACAAAAAGTAAAAACCAACTTCAAATTGCTAAAAAAGAAATTATTTGCTACCATTAGGCGTGAAATTTTCTCCAAATTTACCTACGCTTGAAGTATAAACTGTATAATAAAAAAAAAATCATCAAAATTGGTTCACAATTTACGAAAATATCGGGTAACACTCGAATTGAGAACGTCCTCCTTATTGAAGTTAAAAATAATGACACGACTATAGTTTTGGTAGGTAATTAAAAAAATACGAGTATGCTAAATCACTTGATTTCACCGCAATTATTTTCATTTATGAATATCAACTAATTAGAGATTTAAAAAAATGGCAGCAGCTATATTTAACCTTGGTCGCAGTTTTTTATTTTTAGTCGTTATTAGGAAGACGCTGCTGACCATCTCCTGATTTGATTCCCTCTGTCGTCCCTTAAGACACCCACGGGATGTTATGGGGTAGTGAATATTCTTAGACCGCCACTACACGGTAAAGTTTACTTGTAATTTAATGTATACATTTAACATTAACCTGTATATTATACTAGCGATCTGCCCCGGCTTCGCACGGGTGATTTCTGGACATCGACAACAGCTCCACCTACCAGGTCGAATGGTGATTTTTTTTATTACGTATCGGTCCGGAAAAATCGCAGGTGGTAATCGATTACACAAGGAAGTGCGAGGAAGAAAACGTCTTCTAAATCGCACAATGGTGGACCGCCAATCATCCAGATAATGTGGATGGTATCGCGAATTTTGTCGAGATGTGCGATGGTGAAATTGAGCGCGCAAAAAATAGCTTAGTTCACAATATATTAGTACCGTAGTGCTCGCTAAGTGATATACATCTTTGCTATAAAAGTATAATTTTTAGTTTCTAAGCGTTTTTATATTGGCTAACCCCAAAGGTAGGACGAGGGTCCTCTAGGCAAATCAGCACCGTGCAGCAGCTGCGTCTGCCGTGATGGAGGTTTGCTTTGCAGAGGACAACAACCAGCAGGGCTAGCATAGGCAGGAGACAATTTTATCTCAGGGGAAAGGAAAAAATGTTTATCCCCTCGCTTCGTTTTATCCACCCTTCGAGCATGGGCACACCGGTGGATATAATATCCACAGTAGATAAAATGGGAGATAGACTTGGATTTAGATAGATTTTTGTATGAATATAAACTTAAACCCACGTCCAATGAACTAAGATATAATTGTCCCTTTCAAATGTCAAAAAGGCATAATTTTTTATCTTTCATTTGGCTCCATGCTACGGATGGGAGATATATGTCTACTCGTTATGTCAAACGGGGATATACTTCTCCCCGTTGCCGTGCTTTGGCATAGGGACAAGATAATTTTATCTTTTGTCAGTGGATATAATCGGGGGATAAAATTTTTGTCCCCAGCTCATGTTAGCCGTGCTGGTAGGTACCAGATGCCTCTTGGTTGGTTTCTTTCCTCCCTTCTACTTACCTACCTATCTGAAAGGGGGCCTGATTACCTGCGTATAGGAACAACGCTTTATATAACAGTGGTGTCATATTGTCAACATCATGGAGGATGTCGCTAAGAGTTAACCGGCAGAAAAAAATCTTATCCAAAGATAAAGAGTTAATATAAAAGGTTTAACAATTCTATACAATACAAATAATACAAATAAATATATAGGCTACGGGTAATGCGTGAAGAATTAGCAAACCTAAGTTTACTTGGTGCTTTTTGTGATAAGTCCTAATAATTTATAAATAACTAGCGACCCGCCCCGGTTTCGTTAGAATGAGTGTTATCGTTACAGAATATTAAGGTCCATTGCTGGGCATAGGCCTACCCTATAGATTGCTTCATAGGCGGGATACTTGACATAGTTGCCAGGCTTGGCAAACGAGTTGGCAGTTATTTTTTATTGATATTGGGGTAGTGGATATTCTTACACACCGTGTAAACCTAAGTTTACGCGGCGTTTTTTTGGTAGTCATAACAATTTTAGCTTTAAATTATAAAAATAAAGTTATATCGTGTATATATATATATATATATATATATATATATATATATATATATATATATATATATATATATCCAATACCTGGGCACAGGTCTTCTGTTATCTCTCAAAAGACCCTAGATCAAAGACATATCCACGGCCCAGTTCCAAAGCGTGATAAATTTTTTTTTATTTCTCAGACATGCATGTTTCCTCACAAAGTTATCCTGCACCGCCGAGCACGTGGTAAAATAGGACTTAAAATTGCATTTAGCAATTTCATTGGTGCATGCGGGAAACCGGGTTGCTCGGAGATTGAAATTTACAGCAAGCACTTGGCCCCTAAGTAACAATAGCTCAGCATGATAGACATGGGTAACACTACTCAGCGCCGCGTAATGCGGGCTGATAATCTTCCACTCACCAGATGTCGCTAGTTGACACGGAGAAGAAGTTTTTTGTTACATAATGTCATTTAATTGATAAATTAGTTTTGAATAAAAGTTTATCACTTTCTAAAGCAATACACAAAACAATGTCTCAGTGGTTTGCTTTTTAATTTTTTCCACATTTGTAACTCTTTTTTAATTTTTCTACTTTTATAAATATCTGTGGATTGGTTTACTTTAATCTAATTAATATAAAATATAACTAATAGTACAGAGAGAAACATTAACCTTTACATTTTTCGAACTAATTAACTTCCCCACTATGGAATCTGTCAAATATTACACCTCATTATTAAGTGGCGCCGCCCTGGTGGCAGAAAAAGCCGTGGATGTCCCACATTGCCCAACTCAGTTCACTGCACCGATGTGTTAACTCACTTCTGTTATCATATTGTTATTTTATAAACTGCAACTCCGTGAAACGTAAAACGATCTTTCTTTTCTACATTTATTATGTTATATTTTGACAAATGGCTGAGTTGACAGATGTATTTAAAATTTGTTTGCGTCATGACTCATGACGCAATTTTGAGTTAATTGTGAGCTGCGCCCGAGTTACTACTGAGTTAGCGCAAGGAATTTCGTTGAGTTACCTTAATCTACTGCTGTTGATGTATTTGCTCATATTTTTGACAAATTTAACGGAAATCCTAGTTATTTCAATCATTCTTCCGACTTTAAATGACCCATTAGGTAAACATACACTTCCTACCTCTTCAAACAACTCTTACCCATAACATTTATTAAATATCGAATTTTTTCAATTAGATCATATTTAATAAAAAATTTCTTCAGTCAAAAAATAGTCTACATGCCTTTGCCATATAGCCAATCACAATGATATAGATATGTATACAGCTATATAGATAGAACAGCTATATATATATATATATATATATATATATATATATATATATATATATTATTGCTAAACTGACTGCCAAGCATGTCAATTTTATTTGCATATACATTTTGCCACAAATAATACAATTTTTAAGGTTATTTTAAATAAATTTAAATTCTCTTGGGGAACACCACGCCATGAAATCCTTGTAAATTAGTTTTATTCATAATGTCGCGTAAATTTAAGATATCATTATGTAAACATATCAATTGAAAAAATCCGGTCCCCTTACTTCACAAACTTTTAACACACAACATCAGCTTTGAAGATCTCGATCCAGTAACCGTCCGGGTCCTGGATGAAAGCGAGGCCCTTCATTTTGCCATCTTGAGGCCTCTTTATGAACTTCACGCCTTGCTGCTCGAATCTAGAATGGAAGCAAATAATTATGATTCATTTAATGGTTTAATACTGTCTAGTGGCAGTGTGTGAATATCCACTACCCCATATCGTCCCGTGGGTGTCGTGAGAGGCGATAGAGGGAAACTAAAACAGGGGATGGGTAGCAGCGTACTCCTAATAACTAGAAAATAAAAAACTGCGGTTACCAAACCGCCTGCTAAGCGTGGCAACTATGGCAGTATCCTCCTAATGAGACAGTCTGTGAGGGCCTGGGGGAGACTGTAATGGTATGGTATGATCGGCGCAATTAGGCATATTCGGAAACGTTTTTTTTAAATAATAATTTTCAAAAAAATCATCTCTGTTATAATATATAAAATAATCCATACTAGTATATTAAAGCGGAAGAGTTTTTTTCTGTTTATTTAAACACGCTAAACCCTGGAACTACCAGTCCGATTTGAAAAGTCTTTTTGTATAACTATGATAACTAGATTTATGTGATATAGTAAGACGAAAGAAAAGCGCTCCCGAACTACTTTATTCTCGTGCGTGTAATAATTAGTGATACGTAAATACAATGTTCGACAAAAATATTGACCTTTACTCCATCTAAAAAAAAGTCTGCTATAGCATATGCCTATTTCTTATACATAAGCTATAATATGGTATTTTGTGACAAAAAAATATTGAAAATTAAAAAGTGATATATGAGCATAATTTTTAGGCATGGCGTATTAATCCTTACGGACAAAAGTTTTATTAAGGTAAACTTTGCTCTTTAAAGCTGTTATTAGGACGTATAGTTTAAGAGATAATGAAAAATTAAAATAATTCAACAGTCGGCTCGGCGCGCGAACGACGTATAACCCTAACCACCCGATGAGAAACGAGAGAAACCAGCAGTGAACGCCTATATAAGCGAGGTGTCATGTCACGCGGCTCAGACGCGTGATATACGCGGGTGAAACTGCAGGGCACAGCTAGTATTATACATATGACATTATACATGTATGAATAGAACAAACATATAGAAAAAGCATTTTCATTTCTTGCGACTACGAGTGCCATCTATCGGCAGATAGTAGAAGACTTTAATTCTAGGATTTGCAATTTGAATCGCTAGCTACAGTTTCAACTACGAAATTACCTTGATTCTATTGATTTAGAACACGATTCTGTCAGGAGTAGGCCCGTTGCATGTCTAAGAAAATTAAATTTTTCTAATCCATATGAAGTTCTTTCACAGTTCCAAAAAAATATACAAAATTTTGTCCTGCTCAAAGTTCAAAAACTTTATTTAACTAAGCTTGTATAAAAAGGGTTTTTATAAAATTAAGGAATTTATGGATGATAATAACCCCACAGGGGTTGAAATGATCACTACCCAGCTATTTCAAATTTGTTTTATGTTGTTAATTGTGTAATATACATGATTGTAAGATTTATTTTAAAAAAAGTCCCACTGGGTTTCTTGTTGGCTATTCCCACGTCAGAGGTAATTTTCCGAATCAGTGGTAATTAAAAAAAAGTGAATTTCAATAAGTATTATTTATAATTTATATTGGATAAAAAAGTTTATGTTTCTGTTAATTTGTCAGCGCAGTGTAATTTCCTACCCTAACATCCTCTCGAAAAGAAGGGGACGACTGTGTCCAGTAGTAGCCCCTTGATATTCTGTAATTAATAGCTTGATTGACATCAATGAAATAACGTTTAATTTAATTTATAAAATTCTTTACCTTGCACATGCTTCATCAACATCAGGCACTAATATACCAATGTGACCAAATCCTCTTGGATCCGAGTTGCCATTGTGGTAGCTTGAGTCATCATTCTCTGTGCCCCAGTTGCTGGAATTTAAAGACATTTATTGTATATATATTACCAATACTCGTCTAAGCGGTCACCGTAAATTTTACAGTACATTAGCAATCCAGGTTGTACCAATAAAATTGTTAAGTGCTGATTTCCTTGGTGAAGGAAAACACTGTGGAAACACTTCTTGAAATTCTTTGCCGTAAAACCGTGTCAGAAAATAGAAGCCTGTGTCCTGAGCCCAGCAGTGGAATGTATATAGGCTGTAACTTTATTTTATTTACCCTGATATTTGAAAAGTATATTTCTTTTTATAGAATAAGGTTTACAAATGAGCACACAGTCCAACTGATGGTAAGTGGATGCTGTGGTCCATAGACACTTGCATTTATCCTCGATTAAGAATGAAAATGCAAATGCGTTATCACCCCTGAGGTTAGTCCAAGGGGTGAAATAGAATGTCTTGTTTCCGGTAAAAAGGGTCTCCGGTTCTCTACACTCAATACGAATACGAAACACAGCAGCATTAAGCTACTATTTTACGCTGGTATTCTATGACAGCGTGGTCCTACCCCGGTAGAGCAGACACATTCGTGCTACGCCATATAGTAGCAGCGTAAACGAATCCACTATTACCAGTTTTCCTGTAGTTGTCGTGAGAGACAGCAGAGGAAAATCAAAACAGTAACACAATAAAAAATAAATAAGTATGAAAAAAATTTATTTTTTATTCATTTGGTTCACCAACTAAAGTTACAGTAACACATACACTAAATTCTAAGATAGTAATAGGAAAGTAAGTGTACATTCAATAATAGGTAAACACCGCATGCTTAGTGCTCACAGCATTTCCTACAAGCCGTTATTAAATAGCTAAAATATACATCTTAAAAATAAATTAATACAATCCATCGGTTGTCGGTTCTTTCAGGTATATGGCCGGCCCATTGCCACTGCAGCTTACTAATCCGTTGGGCTATATCGGTCACTCTGATTCTACTGCGGATATCCTCATTTCTAAGTTTATCACGCAGAGAAACCCTAAGCATAGCCCTTTCCATAGCTCGCTGAGCAACCTTGAGCTTCCTCATATGGCCAGCAGTGAAGGACAGTCTCAGTCCCATAGGTCATCACCGGGAACACGCACTGGTGTACAGTCTAGTTTTCAAGTTATGAGGTACACCTGACGAGAAGATGTACCGTAATTTCCCGGACGCGGCCCAGCCGAGTTGAATCCGTCGATTGACCCCTCGGTCAAAGTTGGACTTACCTAGTCGGACTATTTGTCCCAGGTAAACATACTCGTCAACAATTCGTTTTGTCCATGTTCATCTTAAGACCTATCTGTTGGGCGACACTATTGAGATCATTGAGCATAGTGCTTAGGTCCTCCAGCGATTCTGCCATAAGGAATATATCGTCGGCAAATCGAAGGTGAGTGATGTACTTACCATTGATGTTAATACCGTATCCTTTCCAGTCCAGTAGCTTTAAAACGTCTTCCAATGCTGCGGTGAAGAATTTCGGGGATATAACGTCACCCTGTCTTACACCTCTCTGCAGTTGGATAGGTTTCGTACTCTGGTTCTGTACTCGGAAAGGGTAAGATAGCCAACATTTATTACCAACATTTATTAGTCGCAGACACCACTGCTGGGCACAGGCCTCTGTGATAAGGAAGATTTGCCTTAATCTTCACACTTGGAAGGCAAATTGAAGGTTGGAGTAACAAATATGGGTATATTCTCCTACCTTTGTCAGAAATACAGAAATATTACTTACTATGTAAGTTCAAGAGTCGCTTTCCTGGTCATTGCCCAAGATGTCCTTGTTTTCTCATCATGAGGAATATCTGAAGGGTTCTCATATCCCATGAAGAATAGCGAGAATTTCATCTCAGGGAAGTGAAGTTGCTTCAACAGGGTCATTCCTAGTACTCCTGTGTAAAATGGGATGGATTTCCTGGGGTCCTTGATACGGTACATAGTCTGTTGGAACATAAAGTCCTGAAAATACGAAATTGTTGTTAATGGTATTAGCAGACTTCAGAAAAAGGAAGAGGTTCTCAATTCTGTATTTGCTTTTTTGTTTGTAAGTTAGCTTTCATTCCTCTCATTTCATAATCCATACTAATCTCACCTCAGGTTTTGAATCTCATGATCATTTACAGTCCCATCGGTCTATGAGATTCAGGGAATAGTGAGTGCACCTATGCTTGAGTGTACACTTGGGGACTATAATCCTGTTTTATGCCGATGGCTAGTCTCTGTTGAGGCTGGCCGCCGTGGCCGAAATTCAGTTTGGAGGACATTATTATTGGCGTCTATAAAGTATTCTCATCTGGTTGGGCTGAATTAAATATATAAAAGGAAAGGATTAATTATACATAAACATGTATTAAATATAATAACATAATAAATAAAAGTCCAACCAGATGGAAGCCCTCGGCAGGGGAGACCAAATATCATCATCATCATCATCATCATCATTACTGCCCACCAGTTCTTCGAGTTATTTGGCCAGCCCATTTTGTTTTTTTTTATATAATGACAAAACCAACAAAAGATTAAAGGTCAAATGACATTCATTATACAAAGCAACATACAAATAACTTATCAATAGTAGATAAGACATTTAATAGTCTGAAAGATGTTTAAAAAAATTATGAAATTGAACATCGCAGAGTTCACAGTTTAAATTACAAAATAGATAAATTGATATATGTATATTACACTTGGTGACTTATATTACTTTATATAGACTTGTGGTGTAGTGGCAACAGAGGAAAGTAAGACAAGGGATCTACAAGCAGATACCATCTTTCTGATAATAAATAAAAATAATAAAAAAAACTGCAGTTGCTAATATGCCTGCCAAATGTGGCTTCTGTAGCGTTATACGTGGTAGAGCCATGCTGCAGCAATATTAGAAGTATAGTTGTAGCACAAATGGGTCGGCTTGGCCGGGGAAGGACCACACTCTCACAGAATACCAGCGTAAAATAGCAGCTTAATGCTGCTGTGTTACTATCCAAAAAAAAGCTTCACTATGAGACAATGTATGGCCAAGAGCGGTGTTCCACAGTGAACCTTGCCTGTGTGGCATTCCATCTTAGTCCTCAGTGGTGACAATGCATCTATATCCTTCTTTATTTGCAGTTAGTCCATAGGCTGCAGTAACATCTTACCATCAGGTGGAATGTAAGTCTTTTTGTCACTATAGTTTTACAAAGAAAAGAACTATACTACCTAATTAGAACATGTGATAAGGACAGGAGTTGTGAAAGACATGATGACATTACTTCACACAATTCAATAAGTCAAGAAAAAATATCAATAATTTGTACAAACATTACATTAAGGTTGAGATTCGAATCTAGGACCTGCAGCATAAGATTCAGGTGCTTTGATCAATGGATATTTTTTTATAGAAAAAGTGACAAGCGGGCAACAGTCCACTTGATGATAAGTGGATGCTGTCCAGTCATAAACATCTACATCCATCCTCAATTCAGAATCAAAATGCAAATGCATTGTCACATGTAAGGACTAACATAGAATTCCTCTAGAATTCCTCATTACCAGTAAAGAGTCTCAGTTTTCAACACTCACCATCTGAAACACAATAACATCATTCTGCTGTTTCACGCCAGTATCTTGTGGGAACATGGTCTTATCTCCGCTGAGCCGACCCATCCATACTGCAATCATACATAGCAGCAGCAGGGCTCTACCATGTCTAAACTTATGCAATCTTCATAAAATTTAGAGAGTTACTGATAAAAAAATTACCAATCCTGACAATTGCATGTTTATCTTACACATTCATAAAGTTTGCATTAAATCATTCTAACTAACCTTAGTTGAAGGATGTGGAGTTTTACAAAGTGACTCAACTTCCTGAGGGGAGATGCCTTCACCTGCCATGGTTCTGTGAGAAAGAATTCACAAAAATTGTAAATATGTTGTGATATAATGATAAAACTACGTTCAGTCACTATTTATTGTTATCGATAACAAAAATTTTACCTGTGAATTATACAGTGTGTACTCTTAAGCTGTAAAGTGTAAATTCCGAAAATAATTGCTGATAAAGGGTCTAAAACTCAACATTCGTGATACGAGATTCCATATACCACCATTCCTGGTATATAGTGTATTATCTATGACCACTAGGCGTGTGTATCTCTTTACGGAAACGACTCACTGATACGAATCACTGAAGTGACACAAAAGATTGGTTCAGTAACAACGTTTCAAATGTATCATTTGTATCTGGAACAGTGAAACATTACTTTGCTCTTTGCTCATTTCGCGCGACGCGTCGCTTGCGAGTAGCGGTGTGCGACTCGAGTTATTTGACTCGAGTAACTCGAATCAAACCTTAAACGAGTCTACTCGAGTTCAGTTTTAAGCAACTCGAATCAACTCGGTCGTCCGAACGCAAACCGGACGTTATAGTTATACGCGGTGTTCCGAGTTACACACGCGAGTTGTTCCGAGTTACACACGCGGCTCGCGCGCGCGGTTCGTTAGGCGTTGCAACTCGCATCAACTCGAGTTGAGTGAATTATTATTTATTATGTTACGATACACACGCGCGCGCGCCGTTCGTAAGGTGTTGCATCGTACTCGTATCGACTCGAATAGATTATAGAACTCGGGTTGAGTCGGGCTCGCTCGGCCAGGATCGGAACGGAAACGGAATTGCGCGAATGAAAAACTGCGTTGAATGTTTATTTTGATTGACATTTTTTTTCTTTTATATTTATTTCGTTTATTTTATTTATAACTACTACTATTTATAACTATTTATAACTATAACTTGCTATAATATAAATTAAGCAATTATTTAAAAACTAAACCATTGACATTTTGTTGTTTAATTTTATTAGTTGATTGACCGTTAGCGATCCGCTCGTGAGTCTCGAGCTCGAGCTGACTCGTGGTCCCCGAGTCGGCCGAGTCGCCTCTCTTTCCCTACAGCAGACATCAATTCGAGTCAACTCGAGTTACGATTCGAGTCAGTAGCCATATGAACTCGAGCAACTCGAGTCAAAAAAAATCCAACTCGTCACATCAGTACTTGCGAGGCGACTGAGCCACGAGCGAGAGAGAGAGACTGAGACAATGATTAACTTAACTATTGACTCACGAGTGGCGAGTGAGCGGGCGAAATAATTATAATTCACACAAGTCAGATAGAGATAACAAATAAGAAGTGTATCACTAAACTCGTACGGATTTTCGCTGACGTTATTCATGCACGTAAAAATTACCACTAAGGCGCTTATGTGTCAAATACTATACGGTCGTTTTTTGTATGTAACGTTTGTATTAACAAGTTGACATTTGACGTTGATGCGGCACTTGTCAAATTGTTTATATTCATTAGCGGCTGTTTACGAAAACATACTGAGTTATGTTTAGGATTTCTTTGCGTAGTGATTATTGTGAATTTACTTTCTTCCTTTTCATCATAAAGTTTAGAGTTATGATACTTTACGAGTAAATTCTGTGTACATAGACATTGCTGTTTTGTGTAAATGGACATTTTTGTAAATAATGAATTAACATAGTGACATTTTTGTTAAAGTATGAAGGAGAATCGATTTTATATACAATCTTATTACGGTACACAATAAATAATCTAAGCACTTATTTTATTCAGCATGGTTGCCACATAACATTTCACTGATCAGTCAGTAATAAACTCCTGCGACGCAACTTAATGTACCTATTCGGAACATTCTTTCTTTTATATCTTTTGTGTCGATGATACAAATGAGAAAAATGAAACATATCAGTGTTTCGGAACATTTCAGTGATCAAGATGCAAATGTTCCAATCCCAAAAATGATATACTTTGCCCACCTCCAATGACCACCACCAATACCATAGATAAATAAATATGTAGCAAGCTACCAGGCTACCAGTACCAGCTACCATATACTCTTTACGGCGGCTCTTCACGTTGGCCAACACACTGGCCAATGTGTTGGCCAACAACGATGGCCATCGTGTAGAGCGGGTGTTTAAGCTACGTTGGTACGTATTGGAACGATGGCCCACAAGTTGGCGCGAGATCCGTCTGGTGTCGGTTTTTTACAAAAGATCAAAGGGTTGTGGCAGAGTATTGGCCGCCGCGTCTACACGTTGGGCGCACGTTCAGTTTGCTACGAGCTCCCAGAGTGATCGCACGCACCTGATTTAAATTTTATATTCACGCATCGTAACTAGTGTCTACATAACGGCAGTAACAATGACCAATGAAAAAACTTTTCGCTTTATAGAGCCCTACCAAGCCGAAAATTGTTTGTAAAACACAAGTCTTTTTTAAAAATAATATTATTATACACTAGGATTTTCTCCTGTATCGTGGAGGCAGTTTAGAAACATAAATTGCATAAGGACAAACATCCAGACCCGGAGAAATTATATAGGCTATACAAATACTTGTTCCGTGCGGGATTCGAACCCGCGGCCCCCAGGGCAGCAACTCATTGCTAAGCCACTACGCCACGGAGCCGTCAAGAAATAAAAATTTCTTTTTTCCATTTCATTTTGATGACCCTTATCTTATACACATTCACGTTGTAGTGATTGATGTATTAATTTGTTTATTGATGTATTAATTGATTTATTAAATATCTTAAAATCTATAATATATAATATATATTAAAATCAAATTAAAAAGTAGGATACTAAAATCATGTTTTTACTGTCTTTATTATTCCCTATTAGTTACTTCATTTCGTTGATAATACTGTAATTTTTAGCTATGGAAGAGCGAAGTCACCTGTTACAGGCATTATTTTGCTTACTAGGTGACCTCGATCACTGATCATATAATGTAACTTTAATGTTTGACGAAATAAATTATTTATTATTATTATTAAGTTCGCCATATGTACTACTTTATGCATGAAAGTGTAAATAAATAAATATATTATATAATTATACCTTATATAATATATTTATACCTTTTTAAAAAGGTTTTGTTTAATAAAAATTTTACAACAGTTTCATAGACAGGCTTCGAATATTTTCCGGGCTTTAGTTAATTATACCTATGCCTAGGTGTGTTAATGTTTATATAGTTTACTTATCTGTATAACGTTAATGTATAATAAAGAAATATTAAAAATTTATATTAAAAATATTAAATATTAAAAATAGTAAAAATTAAATAAAAAAAAATAGTGGTATGCTGTGAATAAATAAACCGCAGCAGCCGTAAGCGCATCAATAATCATTTTAATAAATTCGTCCGCACATTGGCCTGAACCGAAGCAAACTGAACGACCTTCCGTGTGGACGCGATCACAATTTCTTGGCCAATAACTCTGCCAACACATTCGCCACTGTGTTGGCCAACGTGAAGGGCCGCCGTTAGTCTTTACTCTTCTTCTTCTTAATAACTGTCTTTACGGCTCTGGGTTCTAGCCCTTCTGAGCCTGAAGTTACAATGTATAATAATTATCCTTCATAGTACACTGCTTCACAATATGTTGATGCGTCACATTGTGCAGCCCTTGGGAGATTTTGACGGCAACTTGAGCCAGCAGACAGCTGACAGTTGGCGATGGTATCTCAAGGCGCCTATGCAGACAGACACCTTATCTTGAGAATCACATCACCATCAGAGCACTTGTTTCACCGGTTCCACTAATAGTTCACATGAGTAGATATTTAATACACAAAATCGCACCACTTTTACATATCAAAATCCACTTCAAACCATTATTTAAACAATAATACAGGAGCAGCAATCCGTCGCCGGTCAAGTTCCCACCAAAACTCTAGTCTTTACTCTTTGCGATTGCGAGCACAGAACAAAGACGTATTAAAAAATATACTTTAAAAACCTTAGAGTATTCAACTAACAGGAGACGACATTGGAGAGCGTTCCCCGCTGTCAAAAGTACGAGAGCGCGGATCATTCCCGTTATATAAAACTAGTTGCGCCGCGTACGGCGTCAGTTACCAAGTAGTCGTAAGCGTGAGTTGACTTCCACAAAAATGCGGAGTTGCTGTGTGTTTTCTTGTAAAAAAAGATCACAGACCACAAATTTACAAAAAGACGGCGTTACCTTTTATTTTTAAGTATTTATTTTGATTTCAATAATTAATATAAGCATTAAATCACGAAAATTCTGATCAATATAACTGAGCAGGTAGTGTTGCCAACTTAAAGTATTAATACTATAGTAAGGACTTTTGCACCACTAGGACATAATTACATTTTGCTTAATTATAGACAAATGTCGTTTCTCTTTGTTCTAATTACACAAGACCAAATCGTGTTATTGAAAAGTCTTAAATTCATCAATATTATATATTGTGATCTGTTTGCAAAACTATATTATTTCAAACAACAGTCATAATCTTTAATTGTTTTTAACGAAATGAAAACATCAATTTAAATTGTTTTATTGTATATAAAACATTTGAAATAGATATTTTTATTTCATTATGTTACGTTATGAAACGAAACGAAGGGGAATTCCAAGTATATAAAATGGTATCATCAAGACAATAATAGTGATGTTCACTGTAATCTTTAGTGTCCATGTTTTTATTTGTTTATAAGTAATACCTTGATATATAATACCAAGGTGTTATTTAAAATTCTTTTTTGTACAATGTTTAAAAAAGATCTTTGGTTTTACAGTTTTCTAAAACATCCCAATCATATAACCTGGGTACCTAAACGAACAAGCACTATTTGTTCCGAGCATTTTGACCAATCGGTTTTCGTAATCCAATCAAATAATAAAAGGAAACTAAATGAAACTGCTGTACCGACTTTGAAATTATTGGAAGTAAGTTTATTATTTTGCTACAGGTTTATTTTACATTATGAACGATAAAATTTAAAACATGTAACAAATCGAAATGGAAGGTTTAGTGAACGATATTTATTC